AAAAAAAAAAAAAAAAAGCCGCAATTGCGATCGGCAGCGGCAATTGGGGAAAAAAAAAAAAGCCGCGATCGGCGGCGGCTGTTCAGCGGCAGGTCCTTCGCTCCATTTCTGCCGCCCCCGAATTGCCGCAGGTGCCGCCCCTCTCCCTTGGCCACCCCAAGCACCTGCTTGTTAAGCTGGTGCCTGGAGCCGGCCCTGATCAGAGGTAATTCAACCAATCAACATCCTTACTCCACAGTTAATTTGCAAGCAACAGTTTCATTGGTTGTATGAGGGAGAGTGAACAGATGGTAGATTACTAGGCACAGTTGCCATGCCTGTGTGGAGTTGGCAACACTGGTGACAACCTAAAGGGTTTCTGTTATTAGTACGTCTATAAAAATCAGTTCAATCTAATCTGAGACCACAAATACTAAAATGCTGCAAACATATTTGTATGGTTATTGCATGTTGTCTTTTTAGGGCAGAGTTAAGGTTGTTTAGGTGTTTTAACTATGTATATCCATACCTTAATAGGTTTGGATTTCTTTTAAGTGTAGCCTTAAGTCTGACTTTCCTGGGTTTGTGATAACTGGTTTTTGGGATAATTAAAACATTCCTGTAATGTGGTTTTTTTTTAACCTGTGTTTTACCCTTACTGGTATGTACTCTCAACCTACACTCCATTTTACTATATTTTTTTTGGTCTGGGAATAAATAAATCTGCATATGCTGAAATAACCTATAAATCTTTGGGAGCAACCATGCTTTCCAAACAGAGACTTATGAACAGAGAAGAAGGAAACTCAGGAGAGGACACGTCTGTAAGACATAAGCATTTGAGCAAAGCAAAAATCTAAGGTTTTTGTTCCTTCACTGCATTTTGGAGTAAATAGACTGGCCATTTTCTTGACTGTGACCCACTGGGTGTACAGACCCCTGCATCAGGAGCATTCACGTTTAGTTCAAGAATCTCCAAACAGTTAATTTCCAGAGGTTCTCTGCTCCTTTTCATCATCATGAATTTTATGGCAGGAAGGTGATGCTGTGAGGCAAGTCTATGTCCTTTTCTACCATAGGGATTTGCCCCAATTGTAGTTGTCATAACTATAAAGGGAAGGGTAACAGCTCTCCTGTGTACAGTACTATAAAATCCCTCCTGGCCAGAGACTCCAAAATCCTTTTACCTGTAAAGGGTTAAGAAGCTCGGGTAACCTGGCTGACACCTGACCCAAAGGACCAATAAGGGGACAAGATACTTTCAAATCTTGGGAGGAGGGGGAAGGCTTTGGTGTGCTCTTTGTTTAAGGTTGTTGTTCGCTCTTGGGACTGAGAGGGACCAGACATCAATCCAGGTTCTCCCCATCTTTCTAAACAAGTCTCTCATATGTCAAACTTGTAAGTAAAAAGCCAGGCAAGGCGTCTTAGTTTTACTTTGTTTTCTCAACTTGTAAATGTACCTTTTACTAGAGTGTTTATCTTTGTTTGCTGTACTTTGAACCTAAGACAGAGGGGGGGGTCCTCTGAGCTCTTTAAGTTTGATTACCCTGTAAAGTATTTTCCATACTGATTTTACAGAGATGATTTTTACCTTTTTCTTTAATTAAAAGCCTTCTTTTTAAGAACCTGATTGATTTCTCCTTGTTTTAAGATCCAAGGGGGTTTGGATCTGTATTCACCAGGAGTTGGTGAAAGGAAGGAGGGGGGAAGGGTCAATTTCTCCTTGTTTAAGATCCAAGGAGTTTGGATCTGTATTCACCAGGGAATTGGTGAAAAGTTTCTAAAAGCTTCCCAGGGAAGGGAATGGTGGCAGCGGACCAGAACTAAGCTGGTAGTTAAGCTTAGAAGTCCTCATGCAGGCCCCCACACTTGTACCCTAAAGTTCAAAGTGAGGATACAGCCTTGACAGTAGTCATTGGTAGCCACCAATGTAGCTGCAAAAGTATAATCCCTAGACTAGTCAAGGCAGGTCACAATTTGCCTTGATGGAGCTCACACCTGCTTGGAAATGGGTTAAGCTTCACTGATGTAAATTGCAGTTTGCCTTCTCCACTCTAAGATTTTGCACTGATGCAGCTCTGTTGATAGTTGCCTACAGATGGCTGAAATTGGGGCAAATCTCCATTAGAAAAGGCCTAATCTAGTGTTTGGAGAAAGGACACTGAAGGAAGAGAGTAGGCAACTTTCCAGAAATAGAAGATCTTTTACATTTTCAAAATCTCTATGATCCACAAAATAAGGGTGGATGAACTAGATCATATGAAATAAGTATTGACTCTAACCATCACCCAAATCCAGAAGCAAGGAATTCTGGAGAGCAAAAGGATAGGGTTAATTACATATAAAAATAATCTCCCCCCCAACTCATAAAAATGAAAGTGTGTGCTTGTGGGTTCCAGCCAGAAGCAGAAGTGGAAGTGGGTAACTGCCATAAAGAATCAGAGGGGTAGCCGTGTTAGTCTGGATCTGTAAAAAGCGACAGAGTCCTGTGGCACCTTATAGACTAACAGAAGTATTGGAGCATAAGCTTTCGTGGGTGAATACCCACTTCGTCAGATGCAGGGGCAGCTCCAGGCACCAGTGCACCAAGCGCGAGCCTGGGGCGGCAAGCCGTGAGGGTGGCATTCAGGCTGCCTTCGGCGGCGTGCCTGCGGGAGGTCCGCCAGTCCCGTGGCTTCAGCGGCAATTTGGCAGCGGGTACGCCAAAGGCGTGGGACCGGCGGACCTCCGTAGGCATGCTGATGAATCCGCGTTACCAGCGGACCTCCTGCAGGCATGCCGCCGAAAGCCGCCTGACTGCCGTGCTTGGGGCGGCAAATACATAGAGCCGCCCCTGGTCAGACACATGACGAATGTGTCTGACGAAGTGGGTATTCACCCACAAAAGTTTATGTTCCAATACGGCTGTTAGTCTATAAGGTGCCACAGGACTCTTTGTCGCTTTTTACAGATCCAGACTAACACGGCTACCCCTCTGATACTTTACACCATGCAAGGCACTGCATTTAGTTGTATGGAGTGGAAATCCATCAACCTCATGAAGAAACCTGCCATAAAGAGAACTTTTCTTGTGGTGTTTTTATCCTGACCAAAAGCAGGAAATACCAGCAAGCTCGTAGGGGAGATTTTTATGTGATTTCCAGCCTGACTCTGCAGGCACAAATGGTTTGGCTAAACAGCTAGGGCCAAATAAAGAGGTGATACGTCTGGCATTGTAAGCTGATGTGATTTAGATGCAGAGGGTGTGGAAGAGGAGGAAAAGCAACTAGTCAAGAAGGCGTATGTTAAAGCAGGCCACACACTGGTTTACAATGCATCTTCTTGCCTTTGTCTGGCTCCTTAGTGTGTGAGTTAAACAAGACCAGAGCTAGATATTTTCCCATGCTAGGCATCACTCCAAAGGGTGTGCTGGGGTAGCTGGATACTGCTGCTATTGTGGATTGGGACACCTTAACTGGACATGAGCTAGACCAGTGCTAATATGGCTCCCAGGTGGTGGCAGGGATGGAGGTGCCCTTGCAGAATCAGAGCCCTAGGCAGCCTGTGCCTAATGCCAGCCATGGAGTTAAACCATCTGAGATTCCCTTGCACCCACTTACTAATGTACAACCCACATCACCTTAAATCTTGCCTCTGAGTTTTTGGGTCCATGTGCTGATTGAGCCAATTTGAGCTTTGTAATGTGACTAGCAAACTAAGCTCAACGTTTAATAGTGTGGATATTTTCATAAAATATGAAAGCACTCCTCTCCCTCAACCCTGCAGATTTAACTGAAAGCATTTTTACCTTACTCTCACTTGAGTCTCTGATTCTCAGAAACTAGCTCACGTTAGGACCCCGGGGGGAAGCCTTCATCAGATACTGGCAAATGTTGGTCACGTTGTGTGTTTATTTATAGTAGGCTCATGTTTAAGTACCTTGTAGTTCTTTTCTTAGCATGGGATGGACGAGCTCAGCTATCAATTATCCAAGCAGCTCATGATAATACAAGGGAAGCTATGTAAGGCAGGTGCTCAGAGGGACAGAGGAAGGTGGGGTTCAGGGGATTGAAAAGAGAGGACGCTGGCTTAGTATGAAATCCTCTCAATTATTTATTACCAATAATAATTATTAATAACAAAGATGTCTGCACAATGTCATTGTGACTCTCCAATTTTACCTCCCTTCCAACTGCCTGTTATCTGCCTCATTTATCTGTATTATTTAGACGATCCTAGTTGGTGTTTATTCTCTTCCATTTTGACAATGCTTCAACCAGGTGTGTTCTCTCTCTCTCTCTCTCTCTCTCTCTCTCTCTCTGTCTTTGTCAGGCCCAGATTTTACTATTTTTGTTGGTAAAATTAAGATCTGATTTCTTTGTATTCACAACTCAGGCACCTGTAGTCCTAAAGGGAGGGTGTATTTTTCTAGTGAATGGAAATTGCACCGTGGCTTTTGCTTCTCTCCTTTCCTGTCTCCTCCAAAAGACAGGAGTTTGCATTTAAGGGATTTAGAGGTGGGGAAGGGAGAAAAAAAAAGGGACAGCAGAGCCTCTCGTCCTTGTCCAGGATAAAGCTGATTATGCCATATACACACTGGCCATTTTTGTTCATTTGTTTGTTTCTTGCTTTCTTTTACTCAAGCAGTGTCAAGTGGAGGACTGTGTGAACTCTGCTCTTGACAGCAGCTCAGGTTCTGACACCATCTGCCAGTTAATCCACTTGCCAGGGAAGAGTCTGACGTAGGTGTGTGTATATGTATACATGCTTGCCTTTTAGCCATACATCATTTAAACAGACTCCTGCTTCATACTGATCAGTTTGTGAGAACCATTTATGTTAAAAGATTGGCCTTGGATTCTTTTTCTTTTTTTCTTAGCCTCCTTTTTCAGTTTGATTTGTTTATCTAGATGGGAGGCGGGGGAAGGAGTTGACTGGTGAATTTGCAGGGGATTTCCCTGAAGACTGAACTCATATCTGCTTTTCATATAGCCTGGCCATTTTAGGCACTGGATTTCAGGTCTTGGCTTTTCCTGGAAGCTATGAGTGCGGGGTGCATGGATTTCTTTCGTAAAAGCGGCAGGAAGCAGAGCAGGTGTAAATTATCCGTGTCAGGCTCCTTGGATAGCTGGTAAGTGTGTGTTTGCAGGAACGGCTGCTTCTTAGCTTTGTTAGTGACATGGTGGCCAGTTTTGCTTGGCTGCTGTCCCCAAGTGTTTCATGTATACCATATATATCCCTCTCCTCCTCCTAGTAATACATTGCTTCCATGAAGAACTCCACCTATAGCGCAACATGACACTCTGTATTGTATTGTACCAGCTCACTTACCTTTAGACATGTGTGTGTTTGTTTGGCACAATTAATTGGTTAGACAAGGCCATATTAGCTTACAGCATTACTGTGTATATACCTACTACTGTAGAAAATGACTCAAGATCTCAAACTGGGTGGAAGATTGGGTGGGGGACAGAGTACACACTTGGAAATGCTAATTGTTTTTGTAGTCTTTAGACAACTCAAATCATGCAATGTTTCTGCTGCATGCTAAGAAACTGCTTGTAATCACTTCTGAGAAATTGTAACTGTTGCTCTCCTAAGGGTTCCTCATGTCTATCTCCAAATTTTGGAGATTTCTCCCACCCCCTGTCCATCCTCTCCCCTGTCCCTGCTAACCCTGGCTCTTGATGCCTAATTCTGGACCCTGTCTTGGCTGAGGAGCAATGAATGAATTTCCCTTCAAAGTAAAGTACACCTCTACCTCGATATAACGCTGTCCTTGGAAGCCAAAAAATCTTATCGTGTTAGAGGTGAAACCGAGTTATATTGAACTTGCTTTGATCCACCGGAGTGTGCAGCCCCGCTTCCCCCCTTCCTCCCCCCCCTCGGAGCGCTGCTTTACCGCGTTATATCCGAATTCGTGTTATATCGGGTCGTGTTATATCGAGGTAGCGGTGTATTCTAATTTAAAGGTTCTGACTTTCCTGCATCCTTGTCCCTGCCAGGCAAGGGGCCAAGCACCTGGTTCATCTGCTTGACATTGCTGGGCATCTGGGCCAACTTTAATCTGGTTTCTATCATCCCATTTAGGGCCTGACCAAAGCTCATTGAAGTCAGTGCAAAGACTTTCTTGGACTTCAATGGGCTTTTCATCTAACCCTGAGTATAGCTTTTATCTGTGCCTGTGAGGTGCTGCTTTGCCTAGTGGTTGGATCTTTTGCTACATCTCCCTCTGCAGAACCTCTCTCTTTCTGATCTTCTCCGATCATGCCATTGTCATTAGGTTATTTGTTTTGGGACCTTCATCACTATTTTTGTGTCTTGCTGAGAGAGGACCAGAAGAAACCAAACATTCAGATGCACTTGAGTTCATCCAACTGGACCTTAAACAAAACTTTTAAAGGATTTATACCGAATAATGTTTATTAATTAGAAAAGCAAAGAAACTTCATTACACCCATTGCAAATGGATTTTTACAGACATAGCTATTTAATCAGCAATTGTAGTGAAATTCATTTTATTCTACTTTTAAGAAAAAGTAGTTAGCGGCGCTCCCTAAGCTTGCTCTCAGAGGTATTCAAAAAGGGGTTTATATTAATATCATAATGAAATGTATTGATGAGACTTGACAAAGTCTCCCCTTTCCACCATCAAAATTGCTTTCATTTTTCATTTCTAAAGGAGACAGGGGAGTAATGCTCCAGCCTCAGCCTGTGAGGAGAGATTGAGTCAATATAGAAATAATATTTCAGACAATAATCAATGAAAGAATTTCTCTCCCAGGCCTAATTTCCAATATCAATTACTAACTCAAATAGTTCTTTACAAGATGCTTCGAAACATCAGGTTATTTAAACTAGCTCTCTAAAATAAAATAATTGATGAATTAGCTGAATGGTGTGAAACTGGTGTTTCTATGGAATCTTACACAAAAATATTTGCTGTTTCATCTGGAAAATTTTGTACCCTTCAAATTTTTCTGCACCTTTCTTTCCCACTCCCCAAGGGGGAAATTTGACTTTTGAAGCCAACGGTTGCTCAGAAATGGATTCATTTGTTGAGTGGATGTGATCCATGTAGAGTGAAAAGTGTAAAATGGGTACCTTATTTGAGTTCATAACATGCAGCAAACCCTCCAATTTCAAGTAAGTTTGCCTTTCTGTTGTGCCTATCTTTCACACTTCTGATATCTGAACAGGGTAGGGTAAAACAACCCTCCACTTTTAAACCTTCTCTCAGGGTTCAAGGTGCAACAAAGTTCAGTCTCTCTCTCTCTCTCTCTCTCTCTAGGGTTGCCAACTTTCTGATTGCATAAAACTGAACACCCTTGCTCTGCCACCTTCCCTGAGGCCCTGCCCCGCCCCTCGCTCACTCCATCCCCCCTCCCTCTGTCACTTGCTCTCCCTCACCCTCACTCACTTGCTTATTTTCACTGGGCAGGGGCTTGGGGTGCGGGAGGGGTTGAGGGTTCTGGCTGGGGGTGCACACTCTTGGGTGAGGCTGAGGAGGGGTTTGGGGTGTAGGAGAGGGCTCGGGGGTAGGGGTATGGGAGGGTGTTTGGGGTGTGGGCTCTGAGCAGCGCTTACCTCAGGCGGCTCCCGGAAGTGGCTGGCATCTCCCTCTGGCTCCTAGGCACAGGAGTGGCAAGGAGGCTCTGCACGCTGATCCGGTCTGCAGGCGCCGCCCTCACAGCTCCCATTGGCCGCGGTTCAATGGGCAGGGGCAACACATGTAGCCCCCCTGCACCTCAAGCTGGAGAGACATGCCGGCCACTTCCGGGAGCCAAGGGGAGCTGGCTGCTGTGGCCAGCCGGACTTTTAGTGGCTGGAGCCACCAAGGTCCCATTTTGACCGGGCGTTCCAGTCAAAAACCGGACTCCTGGCAACCCTACTCAGCATTAGTACGGTGATCATCTCTGGAGACCCTCACAACCTTCCCTTGGGGTTTTGGCTGAGACATTCAGGGAAGTGCTGATGTACCATAACACTGGCTATTCCCATTGTACTCCTGGCCAAAAAGAAGCAGAAATGACTGGAAATCTTGTTTTCATGAGAGTTCCAGACCAATCTTGTTGTCTCAAGAGGTCTGGATAATTCAGCTAAACACTTGTGCTTTTAGGGTGCTTGTCTGAGCCAAATCTAAACATTTCTATGCTTAGTAATTAGAAACACACTTTTATCTGAGTGAGCGTGCAAAAGTGCTCAGATGCATAGTTAAAAAAGATGCTACAGTTAACTTACTTTAATCAGCCTCTCCATCCCCCTAAAAAATAAAAAAAATCATGTTCTGGATTAATTGTGCAGCAGTGCAGGAAGAAACTGTTAAATAAAGGAATTGGAGTTGGGAGTTTTTAATTGTCCTCCAGGTTTGCCACTCATGCTCAGTATAATCCTGGGTAACTCGGCTATGCCCAAATTTACAAATTTGGGTGCATATAGTTAGACATTTAAATCCACTTTAGGCATTAAAATAAGAGACTTGATTTTCAGAAGAGAAATCTCAGCTCCTGTTGACTCCATCTCTATCAGTCCATTTACTGAAGTGTATAAATTTGGATTTTAGGGCTGATATTTTGAAAGATAAGTAATAATTTTGGTTGCCTTGGTTTTTGGGTGCCCAGTTTGAAGCACCTCAAAGGGGTCTAATTTTCAGAGGGATTTTATTCCTTGAATGTGTGAAATGTTTTATACAATCTCACTTTCATGGTTCAGCATTTCTGATAGCAATAATTTACAATTAGAATAAGAAAACTGGCCTCAGAATTGGTGTGTAGTGGGGGTGAGGGGCTGGAGGCAAATTCTGGTCCCACAGTGGAAGTTACTTATGATTAGATATACATTTATAAAACATAAGGTGTATGGCTGAAGTTGAAATACTTGCTTCAAGCAAACAATAGACTTTATTTTAGATTGAGAACAGTACTTTAATCCATATTGTTTACTCTGGTTATTTTTGACAAGACACTTTTTTAGACTTGCATGTGTTTTGTAAAGCAACTTGAGAACCTGCAGGGTGGTAAATCACATAAACCGGATGACACTCATCTGAGATTACTATAGAGAATAAAGTGTGAAATAGCCGAGGTACTGGTGAGGGCATGTGATATATCCTGAAAAACTAGCAGCTGTTCCTGACAGTTGGAAAGTCAATAATGCAGTGTCAGTCTCCAAAAGGGAGCCACAGGAGATCCCAAAAATCATAGCCACACCAGCCCTCGCTTTAGCTCTGAGGGATTGGACTGAGAGTCTAAGGACAGAATAGTTTAACACTTGGCTAGTATAAACTCTTAGGGTCAAATCAGCACAGCTTCTGAAAGAAGGTATCTATTACCTGCTATACTTTGTAAGAAGGAGAATAACATATGTGTGCTCTCGCTCTCTAAATAAAGATTACTTAATGGTCCTGATTTACTTGGCTTTTCAAAAAGCTTTTCCTAAGTGAATAAAAGAAAATGAGTAGCTATGGAGTTTGGGTCCAAAGTCTTGGTATGCCCTAAAAATTGGTTAAGCTAAAGGAAATAGTTATAATCAATGTATGCTGCTTCTGAGTAAAGTTGTTAGCTGGATGAGCAGTAGCTGGGCCAAGTACTATGAAGCACTGGGAGGTGAAAGTGAAAAGTGGAGAGGTGAAGTCTGACATGAAATGGTTTTGGTCAGGGGGCTTGGATGGTTCAGCTGGCTGGTATTGGGAAACCGAGCCTATCACTGATAGCTTACTGGTTCAAATCTAGCCCAGGTAAGTGGTGACCAACAGCGGTTGTTAGAGCTAGGTGAATAGTTTATTCAGCTACAATTATTCCTATTCCTGTTCATTAACTGTCCAAAAGCAGACTGTGATTTTTGTGAATTTGTTATTTGAAATTACACATTTCTGTAAATAATTCTTGGTCGTTAGTAGAGCTAGATGGAAATTGGTGTGGGGAGAAAGCCACATTTCTTTTTCAATTTCCCTGCAGTTTTTTTCCATAGAAATTTGAAATTATGGAAAAAATGTTCATTAAACCCATAAAATTTCCAACAGCCGTAGTCTTGTGCTTGTTTGTGAGTAGTTCATTTTGAGTGTTAGCTACTTGCATTCCAATCAGTTTTGATTTGGGCCTATACATGACATTTTGTATGTTTCTGTTCCCT